TCCCAAAAATATACATACAGTAAACAAAAAACATTTCAAATGCACGTTATCAGTTTTTTAATGAGATTAGATAACAATGTTGCCAGAACTGTAAATAATGCTATTATAAAGTCTTCCTTTTCAAATAGTTATATGACACCGAATGCTTCTGAAAAGTGGCTCACCCCTATTACTTTTTTATTTTTTCAGATAAAAAAACGAGATTTGTTATGTTAGTATATGACATAAATAAAGATTGATTGACGTATTCAATTGTTTTTGGTCACTTCCTGTTTCACCGGACATGACTACAACTGTTAATTTTTAAATGGCACCCTCGATATATTTCTACTTTATTTGGTAGAAAATGACACAGTCAGAAGAGAATGAAATATCATATGTCAACTTTTGACATTTTGGCATATGGTTTTATTTGAAATTGTAACATGCGGTTCATGACGACAATTTGATACGAAATATCATGTGTGCGGTACCAAATTATTTGTTTTTTTTCCAAATGCTAATGAGCCACCCTTGTTTTATTTGAAAAAATTGAGATATTAAAATTTTGATTTGTGCATCTTTTTACTGGCCAGGCCAAGACACGAAAAACATTAAACAATCAAATCTATTTTTCCAATGCTCCTTGATTAAAAATTACTGTTTTTTTAACACAGCCCTTTAACACAACTCTAGATTGAAATTTAAAATACGTTTTTTTAAGCGAAGATGTCTAAAATTGACATATGATAAGTCATTCTATTCAGACTGTCATTTTATATCAAATAAAGTAGAAATATACCGAGGGTGCCATTTAAAAAGCAAAAGTTGTAGTCATTTCCGGTGAAGGGAACCAAAACAGGAAGTGACCAAAAACAACGAATATGTAATGAATACGTCAATCAATCCTAATTTATGTCATATACTCGTATTTTATCTAAAAAAAAAATAAAAAATTTATAGGGTTGAGCCACTTTCGAGACGCATCCGGTATAGTTCCCTCAAAAGAATGTATAACGATAGTGACGGTAGAGTAATTTTAATTATAAATAATTACTTTATTTGACATTTTTTGGACACTCACAGTTATGTGAATTTCTTTCCCTCATATTTTGAATGCCGTCTGTCAAAATTTGATATCTCCCGCTGGGCAGACAATATACACTAAAGTGTTATTTTTTGATGATACATACAAAAACATGCAAAATATATCTTCAAAGATAAATAAACAAGGCCTTAAAACATGTCTAAAATTTAAAAAAATCAACTAGTATGAAACAGGAAGTACTGGTTTTGAATTATTCGAGCTACCAATACTGTGGAGGGTAGAGGTAAGGAGAATTACCTTCATGCATTAAAAAGTGGTCATCAAAGAGGGAACAATTAAGATGGCGCTGCTGTAGCAAAAGTCCTGTTTAAAAGAAGCGCCAAAACAGGAAATAACTAAAAAGAGATAGAGATAAATATCCCATTTATGAAAGCGCGTGTTGCTTTCTTTTTTGAGTAACTTCACTTTATCTATAACCGCTAAGTTCAGTTCGATCCCTTAGTGCTTATTAGCGCCACTGTGTTCATTGAGTGACCCTATATTTTCCCCTTTTAGGTGACCACTTTTTCGAACAAAGTGCCCTAAGAGATGATTCTCCTTACCTCTACCCTCAATAACCAATACTGAAAGTGGCAAAATTCAAATAAATTAATTTTTAGATTGTAAACTTTTTAAAAGTAAACTAATTTAATAAAAAAATGTTTCTTGTTTACTAATAATTTTTGGAAATACTTATTTTAAAAATAAAAAAAATAGATATTTCCATACTGTGATAATGTAACATATATGAGATCTAAAACATCATTTATATATTTAATAGAGCTTGCTTAAACAATTATCACTATAAATAATCACATACTTTCTCTTAGAGAATGCCCGAAATATTTTAATTAAACACTAAGCCTAATTTGTATGCCCAAAAGTCCCAAAGCGAAAAATTAATTTTACTATTTACAATCCACAACCAAAATTAATAAAATATAAAAAAAATCGTATTGCGAGGAAATGTAAACGGCAACTTTATATTGAAAGTCGACTAATTTAATTCTAAAAGCAATTCACTAACTGAAATTTCATTAAATAATTCAAATATAATTAATCATTTAGAGGTATTTAAAAAAATATATTTATCATCAAATATCTAAAAATTTAACAAGAATAAATAAACGGTAAAATAAGTGCTATAAGATATTTAAGGTTAGGTTCATACAAACTATAAAATACATTTCTTGATATGCACCAAATGTATGTACTGTTACTAAAATGATGCTCAAGAGACAAGAACCATATAAATTTTCGCAGTTTATCTGTGTTCAATAAATTTTAATAATTATAATTTTTACTTAACGAGTGATAGTTGAAATTATTATAGTACAACTATAGTCTAAAAAAACTGACTGAAATATAAATTTATAATACAGAATACCTTAGCATTAACAGAGGCAACAGTCTAAGCGCCCATCTCTTTGCATTATGTTACTCAACTTTTTTGACATTCAAGTCACAGATTTTGACAATTAAACTCACTGGAACATTAAAAAATTTATTACTGAAAGAAATTTTTAAATGCATTGAGAAAAATTATTTTTTTATTTATATATTTGATTTTTTTGTTATTATTAATATTTAAATAAAATTTATAAACAGCACTAATGCAAAACTATATCAACATAATCTTAGTCTGTGGGTATGTATTGTATTGTATTGTATTGTATTTGACTAAGAGTGGGTCCCAAGGGGGACCCTCCACTGAGGCCGCGAGGGCCTATTGTGGCTCAGTTTCTACAAGCTCTAATTTACAAGAGCGTCAAAGTTCATCCTCAAGACCCAGCCTCTTAATATAGGCCGTTATGTCTGAGGGCGATATGTCTCCTAGGTCTGATAGGTCTAGCATGGGTTTGCCAAACATCTCAAACCTGGTCCTGCTCCCAGCGGGGCAGGTACACATAACGTGCTTCATTGTTTCATCATCTTCCATACAGAGTCGGCATTCGGCGTCTTCCACCAGTCCCGTCCTCTGCAGGTGAGATCTCAGCCGGCAGTGGCCCGTGTACACTGCAGTGAGCACACGCGTTCCATTCCTACCGGCCTTTAGGAGTTCTCCTGTTCTATGTTTGGATGGCCCTGCTAGGATTTTCTTGGCATGCTCCATTCCGGGACTGTCATTCCAGTCTCGGAATGTCTCACCCCTAACCCATTCACAGAGCCTGTCTCTTGCGAGATTTTTGGGAACGCTAAGTGTCGGTTCTGGGCCCACAATGGCGCGCCTGCACCAATTTTGGCGAGGGAATCAGCACGTTCATTTCCCTCTAGGCCGACATGTCCCGGTATCCATATTAGCGACACTTTGTTCCTATCTCCCAGTATACTGAGTAGTTTCTTACAATGAAGAATCGTCATAGACGTGCTTTTCGTTGCCTCAAGTGCTTTCAGCGCAGCTTGACTATCCGAAAATATGCATATTGTTTTCCCGGTGTATTGCTGTTCTACCAGCAGTTGCACACAGGTTTCAATAGCATATAGCTCAGCTTGGAAGATCGTGGTGTGTTTTCCAAGACTGTGGTAGATCTCAGTCTTTGGACTGCTGCAGTAAATTCCTGCGCCAGATCCTTTTTCGTTTTTGGATCCGTCCGTGTACCAACACATTTCCGCATGTAATAAGCCGTTTCCCGGCTTGTCCCACTTGTTCCCGGCTTGTTCGGAAACAGGACGTTGTAGGTGCGCGTCAAGAGTTGGACTGGTGGTGTAAGATCCGAGATCATTCCCAGAATCTCATCCGACTGTAGTTCTTCTACTAGCCGGTTTTGTATGAACATAATTGTTCCTTGGCTTCCTCGTGCTATATTTAGAAACCTATATGTAGCCCATCTCGCCTCTCTTTCCAAAAGAATTTGAAGAGGAGGTAGATCGAGTAGGGTTTCCATAGCTTTTGACGGCGTGGAATGGAAGGCACCAGTCACCGCTAAGCATGCTTGTCGTTGTAGTTTCGACAATTTATTCTTTGCCGTTATTTGGTTGGCTTTCTGCCACCAGGCAACTGCACCATACGTGATAATAGGTCTGATGGCCGTCACGTATAGCCAGTACATATTTTTGGGGTTTAATCCCCAGTTTCTACCTGTAGTAGTCTGTGGGTGTAAACTAGGGTTGCCAACCGTCCTTCATTCCAGAAAACAGTTTGTTCTCTCATGTATTGAAAATTGTAATTGTTCTCTCATGTATTGAAAAAGCCCTCATTTTTACACACCAAAATCAAATTTTAAAAAACATTCGTCTATCGTCATAATGCCTTAATTAGATTCTTAATCTTGCAACAATGTGTTTTTCGCTACTCCCACTCGTTCATACAGAAAACAAATATTTATGTACAGAAATATAAAAAAAGTAAAGAAAAGATTTCAGTTAATGTCTCATTTTTGCTGCCAGGGCTAATCTGGACGGGGCCTACTTTGTTTACGCGGAATCCGAACCGCGGTCCTCGGCCATATCATGGTCAATGGTCTACCGACTTGGCAAGTGTCTAAATCGACCGGTCGAACCGGTCACCCGTCCATCCACTAGTATCGCGCTTACGTCGCTTAACTTCGGTTTTCTAATGAGAACCGGTGTTTCCACGTAGCTGGGCCGTTGCTCTTAAATTGAAAGACAATCAAAATGAATAAAAGCCTAACATAACTACACGAATTTAATAAAAAACGGAACTCACTCAATTAATGATTTCCGAACGTACTTCAAATTTTCTAAACAATATGAACTGATCGCAGATAAACCCTAAAACACATATTTCATAATTAATGATGACGTAACGTTGAACGATTGCTGAAAAGACAGTAAATTGTTACTCATTGAGACTATGTACCACTGGAAAGAAGAAAAAAATAATTGCGAATAAACTAAGGCCATTTTTATGGTTCTTGCTCTAGTCGATTAGGCATCTCTACATTCTAACTAGGTGTTTTTGGTGTTTGCTCACCGTCAATGAGGCCGAACTCTCTCTCGTGCGCCCTGTTCAGGATCTGTTTGTAGAGAACTTCGGCTTGCTTGTATTTCCCCTGTTTCAGGTAGCAGGAGGCCAAGTTATTCATCGTTTTGCCTACGTTCGGATCGTCACCTCCTAAACGCTTCTCGTAAATTTCGAGGGCTCGCTGATAGTACTTTTCCACTTCGTCATATTTTCCCTGAAAATAATAAAAATCAACATTCTTTGTTATTTTAAGATGGTTAGTTTTTTTCTATAAGCAGTGTTGCCAACTTTCTGGTATAGAATTTCCCACAAAGACTCAACATTTCCCATTTATTATATATACAGGGTGGTCCGAACTGTACTCCGGAAACTTGGGCAGCATATTCTGCAGATAAAAATAAGTAAAAAAGTTTGTATAAATGTATGTCCAAAAATGCTTAGTTTCGGAGATACAGGGTGTAGAAGTTTCATTTTTATTTCGATTTTTTCCAAATAATTTATGAAGTAACGTCAATATCTGGATGAAAATTGGTGTCTGGGAGGTTTTTGACATGATAAATTTGATATTCATGTCAATATGACTCTTACTTATAGAGGGCACCACCTACATATTTTTTAACTGGTTTAGAGAACAATAACTTTTCGTTCGTATCTATATAAAACTACTGAGTAAAAAAATATACATTTACTACATTTTCTAACTAAAAAAGATCTCTTGGTAAAAATCGCTGCGAGTAATATTTCTAGAGATATTTGGAATCGAAATTATCAATACCCTGTCATCATTGATATAAATTAAACATGTTGACTAAATAGTTATTAGACTGAAATCATAACATTAAAATATTTTGTGCCAAAAGTTCAACAGAAACTGTTTTATCATCATTTTTTTTCGAAGAAAAATTTAGGATAATTTACAGAAATAAAAAGTTCCCAAATTTATTTCATTTCACTCAAATAATTATCCACTCAACATGTTTATTTTTTGTCAATAATGACATGTATTGACTATTTCCATTCTAAATATCTTGAGAACGGTTGCTCGTAGCGATTTTTACCAAGCAACATTTGACGTAAAAAGTCACGGAAATGTATATTTTTTCACTCGGTAGTTTTATACAGGTACGGACAAAAAATTATTACTCTCCTAAACAGTTAAAACACATGTAGATGGCGCCCGCGAAAAATAGGAGTCATAATTGACATCAAAATCAAACTTATCATGTCAAAAAACTTCCAGACGCCAATTTTCATCCAAATATTGACGTTACTGCAGAAATTATTTGGAAAAAATGGAAATAAAAATGAAACTTCTACACCCTGTATTTCCGAAACTAAGCATTTTTGGACATATATTTATATGAACTTTTTTACTTATTTTTATCTGCAGAATATGCCGCCGAAGTTTCCAGAATTCAGTTCGGACCACCCTGTACATACATATGTATATTGTAGAGGTATATTTTGTATTATTTAATTAAAAATATTTCTTGCTATATAACTGCTGTTTTGTAATACCATATTATAGCATGTTTCTACATGGTATATATGACAAAATAGCGAATAGAAAACACTTTATGTGTCGTTTTAATTTGAAATCAAAATGAGTTGTTGCCGGATGTCCCACAAAGTTCGCAACAAACGAGATTTTTTTATTAGTTATTGAACAGAACAATGTATGCAAATTTTTTCAGCATATCTAAAAACAAGAAATTAATGGTTTGTTCCAACCCGCCGCAGAACCGTCACCGAACGATCGTGCGCAGTACTTCAAATGTGTTCCAACCGAGATTTGACGGTTATAGGACGATCCTATTTGCGTACCAACCTACCTTGGGATCGTTTAGTTACGATTTCAGAACGGTAATTTCGGTACATGGTCTAAATTGAGAACTGTTTGGGTTGACTTGCGCATTAAAGCATATTGGCAGGGATTATCGATTTTTAACAGCTGATTCTGGTCCGGGGTTCGACTGATGCTTCTGTCTTAGTTATTTTTTACGAATTCGAATACGTGTGTGTTATACTTTTGCTTGTGAGTTTGTGTGGAGTAAATCGTTCGGAAATTTTAATTAATTTTTTATTTATAAAATAATGTTTAAAGATTCTACCACTGGTCACTGCACTGAAATAACAGGAAACTACGCATAACAGGATCATCATAAAAGAGAGGATAGGTAAGTGAGTTAGTGAGTATACAGTTGAAACAACACTTACCAACAATTACTGGATTCTGATTCTCCATTTCAAGAATAATAATTATTATTATTGCAAATTGCAAACAAAAATAATAGGGTTATGTTATGAAATTCTAAACAAAATCAAAAAACCGATCGATACACGCACGCTTGACACTTTTGACAGTCCCGAAAACAATCCACAAAGCGTTACAACGTTGATACTTTTTGCACCGTCAGGAAACTATTCGAAGTCCGCGCATGCTAACAAAGTGCACGAAAACCGATTCGAATACGATTTCGAAACGATCCCGAAATGCTTGTTGGAACAAACCTAATATCAATTTGACATTTGTTGTGCGACAACTGTCATGGCGACAAATTTCAAAAATCTCCTTTACATATGCAAAAAGTGGGATTAACTAACAAAATATTGAAAAAAACTAAAGATAAAAGTTACTCAGAAATTAATTTCACATCTGTTATATATTTTGTCAATATACACAATATAAAGTTAGTGTCAAAAGATACCTTACTGAAAAACGTATTCATCATTTTGAAAATTTACATGGGATTTCCTACGTTTAGGTCGTTTGGTGTTAAAAGTAGTGTTTTGGTCTATTGTGGTGAACTAGTGTTTTATTTTCCTATTGTAACACCAAAGGTTCCAACCCACAACTATAATAACGACAGATTAAACTGATTCTCGTAATAATATTACCTGATTCTGACACAACAAAGCCAAGTTGTTCAGTTGTTTAGCGACGTCCGGATGTTCCCTCCCGAGTACCTTTTCCCTAATGTCTAAGGCACGCTTACACAACGGCTCGGCGTCCTTGTATTTGCCCCGTTTGCCGTAGAGTACCGCCAAATTATTCAGAGTGGCCGCGACGGCCGGGTGGTTTTCCCCTAAGGTCTTTTCTCGGATGGCAAGGGCGTCGTTAAGTAAATTGGCGGCCTCTTTGTATTTATTCTGGTCTCTAAAATAAAAGGAAAATAGGGCTTAGGTAAAAATAGTTGTGTAGTGTGTCAATCGTTGTACAGGGTGTCCCATTTTCGTGTGTTTTGCAGGGTTATCAATCTCAGATCACTGTGCTACTTTTGTATGAAACTAAGGATACTACACACTGATTTGTTTGCTGAAATACAGGGCGAAATTGAAAATATTGCATTTTTCGACCCCCTTTGTATCTCGATTATTTAGTAATTTATCGAAAAGGTGCAAACTGAGTGCATAGATTTTTTCACGTAGAATTCAGTAGCGTAACTAGATTTTTTTCTGCGGGCTGTCGTTCTTGAAATATGGCCCAAAGATACTTTGTATATTATTGGCTGTTCCACGCTAGTTTTTGTGTGTAGAATTATTACATAAGTGCATTAAAAATATCAATAACTCTGACAGCGTGTGATCTAAAAAAGCTGCATAAGTTTATTTTCAGTGCAGTTTATTAAGATAACACCACAGCCCGACTGTACTTAACAAGCCGTGAACAACCATTTGGCAACGCCGCAACCGGCAAGAGATTCAGATCGGTTTCTAGCGAGCGCGAATGCGCGACGGGCCGTTTTACCGGATATCGAGACGCGTATTTTTAAATTAATTTAAGGTTTGTTCAAATTTGCCACATAAAAGTAAAAAAAAATGCCACATGTGGCAAATTTGGAAGATACTAGGCACTATATTTAACTTTAGTCTAGTTTTAGTAGGTACCTTTTGCATTGATCCATCTGGCAAGCGATAATCCTCCTCCCTAATAATGTCACTTTCTACAAAATGCTTAGCACAAACCACAGAATATTTTGAGGGTGACCATGCCTCCCTAGAAATATTTCTAAGCCATTGGGCTTTAAGGTTTTCATTTATGGTTTTCATCCTTTAGAAAGGTAAAAACAGATACCGCTGGTTCTCCTGGTGGTCCTTGGCCCATCAAGATAAGTTTTATAATTGGATTTGCACCCAGGCACACAACAAGGAATTGGCATGGTAATTTTTGATTACCACAACTAACTTTCAATAAACTGTTTTAAAAAGCACCACAAGAATTTGCCGCCATTCTTTGAAGAAAGCACTTAACCTCGCTTATAACCCGGCGAATTTTTCACCCACGGATATTTGTTTTTACGCAATGTCTACGGAAAAAAATTGTCCCGGTAACTTACAAATCTCACACAGTAAGACTTTTCACAACTTTAGTCTTTAACTAAACAATATTTTCTTTCAAAAAAGCGGATTTATTTACAAAAACATAACAAAGCAACAGGTCAATGAACGTAAAGCATATGGCTAAACGTGTATCGATCAATCTGAAACCAGTGTTGCCAGATTTCCTTGTTCACGGCTTGTTAAGTAGAGTCAGGCTGTGATAACACTATGAAAAGTTAAAGTCTAGTTAAATTAAATTAAATAAAACGATGATCTTCTAAACTAGGTTTATTTATGCTAAAAAGATAAAAAAAAATATATTTTCGCCTTGTTTATGAAAATAAGTATAGAATATATTATATTTTTAGAAAGCTTACGAAAAGGCAAATAAAGTAAATATATAATATACGGAGTATTCCATTAAAAAAACATATGTTTGGATCATATTTCAAGAATGACAGCTCGCAGGAAAAATCTAGTTACGCCACTGAATTCTACGTGAAAAATCCCATGGGACTCTGTTTTCACCTTTTCGATAAGTTATAAGTTCGAGATATGAAGGGAGTTAAAAAATGCAACATTTTGAATATCGCCCTGTATTTCAGAAAATAAAAGGGCTAGGAGAAATCTGCGTTTAGCATCTTCAGTTTCATAAAAAAGCAAGTTTCACCAATCCACATCTTTGAATCTCTACTCATAAACAAGAAACCCCATAAAACATACAAATACGGAACACTCTGAAATAATAAACTTATAATCCTTTTAAAATAAACTTACCTATATACCAAAGCTAGAATATTCAACATAGTAGCAACGTCTGGATGGTCGTGCCCGCTAGTTTTTTCTAAATCTTCCAAGGCCTGCTTGCATAAAGGAACGGCAACTTCGTATCGGCTCTGTAAGAAAAAAAATATTAACAATGTTCATATGAAAAACCTAAGAAAATTTATTAAATAAATAAAACATTTCTAATACAAACCTGAGACGCATATTGAATAACCAAATTGTGCAATGTCCTTAAACGGGCTGGTATTTCATAACCGGCATTGACCTGTTGTGAAAGATTAAGTTGGTTTTGCGGCGTAGGTGACAGATCTGCAACAAAATAATCTAAGTTTGTACGTTTTCTTAATTTTAAAGTAAAATAAAAGATAATTATTACTGTTAAATATTAGTTTGAACAGAGATTGTACTTACTGTTTCTATCGTCATCTTGATCATCTGGAAACAAGTCAACAACAGGATCTGATTTCTCCTGACTTCTGCCTTCGCCTCCTTGGCCTTCTTCTTGATCTTGGTCGTATTTGCGCACTAAGCTCATGAACTCTAGGTGATTTTTCTCTTCTTCAAGTTGCGCAACAGCCTAAAGAAGAATTCCGAGAATAACAATGCCAGTATACCCTTCTGGATATACTGTCACTAAAACAATCATTTCAAATTCAAATACCCCTCTTCTTTTGTGTACAAAAACTATGTGTGCGAAGACTAAACATTTAAGAGGTTTCTTTTAAAATGCCATTATGTTTTAGTAGCAGTTTATTCAACAAATAACTGGATATAAAAGGATAAAAAAACAAATAAACGAAGTATTATGGCACCATAGTTGTAGATGAAAGTAAGGTATTTATAATACAATAACAATCGCAAACAAGTTTTCAAACTGTACCTGTTCACTGGCTTGTAGTCTCTGTTGTGTTGAGGCTAATTCGTCCCGAAGCCATGCGTTCTCTTGGCAGAGACGGCGGACTTGAGCGCGTAACTTTTGTTTCTCTGCCTCGACCATTTGAAGGTGGGATGCCAGGTGCATGATAACCTAAAAAACAAGACAAACATTAGTCATATAATTTTTTAAAAACCTTGTTTTTTGTATTTTTTTTTTTTAATAATGTAATTAGTAATGATATTAAAACAAAGTTACACAATTTATAACTCGGCTGGACCGAATTTAATGATCTCTGATTTGTTGGGTTCTTTTTCGCCCTCAATAGCTGAATAATTATTATTAAAGTATCAGAAAAATTAACGGCGAGGTTCTGAATGAAGCTTAACTTTTTCTACTAGTTGAAAATGCCTACCACTAATTTTGACGTTTTGAATGCTTACGTTGAAATTAGAGGAACAAACTTCTACGCTAGTTGAAACCATTAATTTATTCCACTAATTGCGAGGTTCTGAATGAAGCTTTAACTTTGGAACTCCACCCTCTTTCTCAGTTAATAGCTCACGTCATGCACGCTTAAATTAGCTTAAATAAAAGCTGCATTCAGAAGTCCGAGATGTGATTTATTTCTCATCCCGTTTTGGTTTTTATCTCACATTATTAAGGAAAACGAATTTAAATATCATCAAAAAAATAATATTATTATTTAACTTTTGTTTATTTTGACGCTAGTGATAACAACCCATAAACATTCGAATTACTTAAAGGTATTGTTTAATCGCACTGTATAATTATAATGCGATATTAAAGTGCCCCCCTGTGTCTGAACACATAAAACGGATCATTTAGTCGGTTAATAACGCGACGTAAAACGGCTATAAATTTTACTGGTATGACTAACTGTAAAAATAAAATGGCGTTATTTGGATCCCTTTACGGCATTTATACGGTTTTCTATTACAATTAAATTAAAGGTACAGTGTACTAAAAAAATATTCTTTATTTGTCTAATATAATAAAAAATAATCACTACTGAGAGCAAAATGTCAATTAATATTTTTCTCTATAGTAGACAAGGCGGTATCAATCCTCAATCAACCTCCTCGGGTTGTGCCTCGGGGCTCTGAAAGTCAATTATAAACGGATTACCCAGACTGAAAACTGAATTTTATAGTAATTCATGCAGCTAATCGACCTAAATTGAGTTCATGACTCATTCGATATCTTAATAAAAATTAAGTAGAGATGTCCGTTAAAAAATATCGATACTACAAAATGTACGAAATCGAGCAAAAGTAGCAATTACTTATTATTTAGTTAATATTGCAGCCAACATAAATATATTTTTTTTTATTTCAGGCGCATTTTATTTTTAAAACCCTAAAATAACAAAAGAATTTTAATGAGTAAAATACAATATGATCAAAAAAAAATCGGCATCAGCGATGGCTATGAAATGAAGATCGCTCTCATTTTAAATGTAAAAATATATGGGGAATGTCATCGATCGTCATTTCCAAGCCAACTGGACGCCATTCTTTTTTTGATTATACGGTACTTAGGTCCATTCTTTTCATCAAAATGATCATAGTATTCGAAACAAGAGGTGTTTAAAGGCGGACTCTGACATACAGGGTTCGGCGATAGTGCGGCGTAGCTCCTATAATAAATAACTTAGAAATTATGTATAGATGCCCGACGCACCCTGTATACCAACTACAAATGTCTGTCAAGTACACGAGTCGTCTGAGCGCGCCTTGGAGCAAGAAAAAAATACATATACAGTACGTCGATTCGTTCTGTATCTAAAGGGCGTAAAGTGGCAAACGAAATTCTCTGTTAGCCGGCAATCATAGGCGTGCAATAAATATTTTAGATAACATTACTTAATAACTAAAAATTTCAAAAATACCCAATTTTATTTTTTTTTCTTGGTTTTCACGTAAATGAGACATAATCTTCATAAAAATTAAAAAATTAAGAAGAAAAATAATAAAAAAATCAATAAAATCAGGCAACTATTTATTTTACCGATAACGACTGCACTGTTCTCCAAGCTCGGTCTACTTTTGTTTTAATCGGTGTTGCTCGTAAAAAATTAGACGACATAAAAACTTCAATAAAGACTCGAGAAATTTAAAAGTAGCGAGTTAGGAGGGGAGTTAATCACCGCCACCTTACAGATCTGTTGTGTGTTCCCCTTCCCCTATAACTCGTTATAACTCATCATACAGTCTCAGGGCTTTAACAAAAATCAGTATCTGAGACGGCTCCACAGAGGCCAGCTCTCCATCCTCGACATCAGCCGTACCAAAGTTCATGGCACGAACGGTCGTCGTCTCGGCGCGCTCAGTGATAAGGTGTTCTGATGTTTCCCCATTTTCCCCACAGAATGTGCATTTGCCGTTGCTCCTCAGCTTCAGCCTACTGAGGTGTTCGTTGAGGAGACAGTGTCCGGTTAGAAACCCCGTGACAATCCGAAGATTGTTTTTACTCAAATCAAGGAAAATCTTTGATTTTCTCGGTCGTAAGTTCTGAGGAACTTTTTCGAGTGTCTTAGACCGTTGCGAGGATTCCCATTCCAGGTTCCCCAGTTTGGTTTGGTTTGTTTCAGTTAGTGGAGTGTTCGCTCCTTTTCTAGCTATATCATTTGCTTGTTCATTGTATTCTATCCCTTATCTCTGCCCCTTGTATATAGGTAGCGATCTATAAAATATATTGCTCTTTATTATTAAATGTGTGTAGTAGTAAATTGATCATACTCCAATATTGTGTCCGCATTTTTGAGATTCCTTTCATAGACACAGATCCAGTAGACGTATTTTACATACATAATTCTTAAAACTAAACGTTCTCTAACCCAGTATGAGTACATATTATCAAAGTGAAACCTCTGAAGGCGGGTATAAGGGGACAAATAACTCACAATCTTTAAGATGTTTATTTTATTGAAGCATTTAAATTTAAATAAACATCTTAAAGATTGTGAGTTATTTATCCCCTTATACCCGCCTTCAGAGGTTTTACTTTGATTTACATAATTCTAACTTTACATAAATCTAAGCGCTTCGCGTACTGTTCCACATCTTCCATAAAAAATCAATATAGTAGACTTTGAAAAAAAACGTGATAGTTTAGAAACGAAAAATTAACAAACGAACATTGCAATCAAATATTGCCAATTGTCAGAAAACAGTCTCCTATTTTTATTAACCGTATACTTAAGTTTAAATGTCGATAATCATCAGGAATAAAAAATGTCGAGAGTGAAAAATTTCGATATCTTCGGACGGTCTCTAATCGATGTTCTATTTCCTTCAAGCAGATACCCAGTCACTCATTCATTGATATTTCTTTTCCTTCTTTGTCTTCTCGACAAAAAGACGACGAGGAATCCTATTTCATAAAGCTTCGTTTTGCATAATCAGTCATCTTTTTTCATTGCATTTCGATAGAACGGGAGGGACAGACGAAAAATAGGGATCCTCGCAACTCTCATTGATCGTGCCTGGATGACTCATAGTAGACGACTGTTGCGACGTTGCCAGTGCAATTTTTTAAATATTTTTTTATTATGTAAGCCTCCTTGAAGATTTCTTATTTGAATTATAACATTATGAAATACGACCTGTTTTACATTACATTATTTCTCTGAAGAGGCGTTCAAACAGAATAAATACCGTATGATCGAAAAAAAAACGGCGTCAAAGACGATTTGGGAATAACAATAATTATTGATGATAATTTTGGCGATAATTTAGGCACATTGTTAAAGTAAGGGCCATTAAAAATAAAGAAGAGTACGGGCCAAGTAAATGCAATCTAGGGCTCGACCTTGCCAAAATTATCATCGATTGACATTCCCCAGTCGACTTTGACGCCATTTTTTCGATTGTATGGTATTTTCTATTAAAATATATTATCATCACTCAATGTTAAAAAGAACCTAAGTTTTAAGCTCTATTTGTTTTTATAATCAAATATGCAAATAAACGGTAATAAATCATATCTAGAACAACAGTATAATTAACAAAAAGAGAAAGCTTAAAATAGTACTTCCCATGTCATAGATGGGACGACCCGCCAAAATTAAAAATTATGTTTACAATCATTTATTTAAATTGGTAAGAGTAAAAACAAGATACAAACTTAATTCAAATTAAAAAAATCAATGTTCTTAAAAGTGATGTATATTTTTTTAAAGAATGCTGCTCCCTAAAACGTATTTTTAAACTTTAATATGGTTTAACAGAACAGTTAAATAAAAAAAAACATTATATTGAGTAATAAAATAATATTGTTTTTCTGTAATTTATAAATAATATTACAATAAAACCCTTATGAAATTATACATACGGAGTGATCAACAATGATTGAAATAGTTGGCTATTCTGATTTTGCTCGTTTGGTTTTGGTGAACCACTTTTGGGAAACACCCGGTATATTATGATTGTGGGCCTAGAAAAATAATACCTTCTCTATAAATAAATAATATCGGAGAAAAAAATCAATCGCAGTTTACTATAAAATGCTTCAATAGAACACAAAATTACATTCACAACAATATCGCAAATCGCAACTCCTAAAAATAAAAAGGAAATACCACCTCTGCAACTCCCAGTCGATGATATGCCAAGAACGTACAACTTTGAGAAACATCTCAATGTAGTATTGAGCAATAAAAAGGATTGGAAGAGAAACGTCTGCCCAGCAGTTAAAAGACCATACCATAACTTGGTATACTGATGCTTCCAAAACCAATGCGGGAACAGGGATCGGAGTATTTGGGTCGAGAACTAAATACTCCGAACCAATGGGCACCTCTAGCATCCTACAGGCAGAAATCTACGCTATCGAAAGATGCGTACAACTTATCTTATATAGGAACTATCGGAAGCAAGAAATAGCCATCTTATCTGATAGTCAAGCAGCGTTAAAAGCGATCAATTCAGTATCAATCAATTCGAAATTGGTCAAAGAATGCATAGAGAAGCTGAATAAATTAGGCAAAGAAAACAAAGTCCTCCTACTCTGGGTGCCTGCTCACCAAGGGATAGAAGGCAATGAAAAAGGAGCGAACACTCCACTAACTGGACCAGAACCGTTTTGCTTTCCAAGTGGTAATCAACTCAAAGCGAAACTGAAGAACTTGG